GAGGGATTTTAAACGGATGTTTAACTTGAGTTTTAACGAATCGGTTGGAACGATTGATAGGACGGGAGGAAGATGGAAGAGAGAACGAGGAACGTTCGGACATGTTTGGAAAAATACAGGATTTCTTTCGAATCGATAAGTCGCGAAAGATTGAGCCGTAAACGTGTCCACTATCGAGGTTATCGAACGCATTTTAGATCACGGGAGAGCACTTACAATTAGAATGAATCACACTGTTGCTTGTTATCTACTGTTGAATTACTCATATTTGTCTTGTCAAACGTTTTTTTTCTTCAACCGTTATTCTAACCGTTGTCTAGGCCCATAAAAAGCTAACCGGAGCCTTGGAACGAAGCGTGAAGCAATAAAAAAAGTTTCACTTAATTGAAACGATCAAACGTTGGGCCATTTAGTTGTATTATATACATTATATATATTTGTAATAATTGTGACAAACGAATAATAATTTAAAGCGAGTTGTGTATTAAATATTCGCGAGCCAGTAGAGTTAAGAGAGATTAACGATCCTCGTTTATTAATCTCGTTTCAATTAGATTCCCGATGGACCGTGACGCGTGATCATTTTACGCCATTTCGATCATTTTACTTGAAATTAGAATACAAAATTAGATACAACGTTAAAGTGCGTAAATTGATGTAAATTAACGATGAATTACGCTCGATCTACGAACGGAATCTAATTGTTTTTTTATTGAGTAACCAAAGCCACCTTTCACCTCGATCAATTTCCAATTATTCTTCGGAATAATTTCGGGATAAATAATAATCCTCTTCGATGGAACCACTAAATTATACAATCACTATTAAATTACGTAATTGATTAACCATTGTGAGAACGGTTTTATTCGAGAGCGGCACAACGGGCGCGAAGAGGGAACGAGGCGCGGCGGAATACTTTTTCCGCGTTAATTTTCTTCGTAACACTAATGAATCGTTGACAATGAATTTATCCGGGTGCGCGGATAATATACGCGGAAATGGAACGAGAAAATGTTGTTTCATCGTCACTAACCTGCGAGAGATACGGAGGAAATTGTACACAAAAGAAAGAATAATTTCAACTTCACACTGCCACCGTGGACGTCTGATACGGAATGAGCCACACGGAATCGACGTGTCACGTTTTATGCAGACGTCCACACATTATTTATACTCCGATTAGAGTACTCCCCTCCCCTCCTCCTCCGCGGATGTATCCTATCGTTAAAATGTTCTTCGATAGCAATCACCGAGGATACACGAAATTTATTTTTCCATAAAGAAGCGTGTTTTCTAATACCTATATGGCAGTTATATTTGATACAGTTATATTATTTACTCGAACTTCTCGAGCGTTACGCGCCAGCTACGAATAATCAGTGTTTGCGATTGTTCGGCAATCCGAACGTCCAATTTTACCAACTGTGATTATCTGTCGCGTCTCTTAACTCCAATGGCAAATAAGATATATATCGCTGACGAATTATTGGAACAAAGAATAAATATTTTTTGGATATATGCAACTACTATGAGATCTTTTGAAAATGTCAAATCGAAACACTATTCGCCATTATCTACTCAATGATAATAAATCGGCGTTTGATTTATCGTTACTGAACAAATATTTTCCCATATCTTTCATAATTTATATCGGATTTATTATGAGTTACGAGTTATCAGCGTTTTCATCGTGGTTCGCTTATGATTTGCATTCCGATCGTTATAAAACAAGTTTTGAAACGACGACACTGAGCTTCAATACACGGAATTTCAATGGATTGATTGTAATAACCGTGAGTCATTTTTATGCAAGAATCGTCCATCTTTACCATTGGCGACATTGCCTCTGTTTCCTCGATTCCTAATGAAAAGTTATCGATTAAAGATAAAAGATAAAATTAACTTAGCTTCGCGACCTTGAAATAAATCCATTTCACGATTAATTTCGAATAAATGGATCGCGAATATAGTCGTGTATTGTAATTTTGATCGTTTGGCAAGTAGTTTGCAAGGAGGGGAAGGAAAAAGAAGAAGAAGAAGAAGAAAAAAAGGATTCAAGAGATTTCTTTAATGTTACGACGATGTCATTATTATTCAGATTATTTAGACAATATCGGCGCCAAAGCTCGAAGCGTTTACATAATCCGACAACAAATACTTCGATCGCGTTTGAAAAAAAAGTCAAGTCTCGGATAATCTTCTAGAGTGACAGTACTTCTATTATCATTGTCATGAAAAACGGTTTCGTAATAACAAATGACCAGACATATTTAGACATACAATTAATACAATTAATATTTTTCCTCTCGAGAATTTTTGCACGATCATCGAATTAATTCCTCTTTCTTATTTCCGTGTAGTATTTCTGTTTGCAATCAATCATCTTCGACGGTGCATACATCTTGACACAGCAAATACTCGAATTGATAAAACATAATATTGTGTTAAAAATTTTAAATAATTTAGAATATTATCATCGCGACGATTGCGATAATTGAATTAAGAAGTGGTTAATTCAGAGGAAAAATATAATATTTGAGAGATTTCGATATTATTGCTCGAACGTCGACTGATTGTTTTCTTCGATTGTTTGTCAAATAAAATAAAAAACGCGTCAAGACGAAAAGAAATTGTGTTATTAGCGTTTGTATCGCAGCGATAAAAAAGCAATAATTTTAAGCAAAGACTTTAAATCTTTTGATAATCTATCTAGGAAGTAGATTTTTATATATATATATAAAATATATGCACGCGATAATAGATGTTTAAATATGTTAAACATACGCAAAATGTTATATTTGTTCCGACTATTTTTATTCGTTCTAGGAAGAAAATGAGCCGATAATGCCAATACCAAATATGCATTCGATTGGCCTAAATCGCGAACGCACATGACTAAAATTATACAGCCGATTCGTATCAATCGCAGTCTAGCCGATTTATTTATATTAGCCGATTAAATAGAACTGTCCACTTTTCAATTTACATTATTCAACGATCACTTGCCGCGAATCGCGTTCATCCGGTGTGATTGTTGAAAATTTCAATTCCAACCGAACGTAAACCGTTTCGAGAAGATGGAAAAATTATCGTCAAAATTTTTCTTCATCGATTCCATCGGTTCTAACTAATTCGCGACTCGCATAGCAACAGTATTAAAATAATTCGAAAGGATGATACGTCGACTTATTCGTTTCAACAAGTTTGAATAAAAAATTCCCATGAATTTAATTACTTGTGAACGTGTACGTACGAATTTCTACGCGAGATATTTTTCCACGTTAAAATGAAAACGTACATGACGTGACATCCATGATCTTGAATCCATACCGTGGCGAACATGAATATCAGACGCTACACATCGTCGTTATATAATACACTATAAATGCCACGCATTATTTAACTTGCGATAGCCTTGCATTTGTTACAGCGTTTATACGCATACACGGATCTAAATATTTTCTCTCCCTCTCTCACTCTCTCACTCTCTTTCTCATCGTACGATATCGATGAATCGTTAAAAATATAAATTGTCCGTGATGTTAATCGATTAACACGCGAACTTAATTTAACAATTATGATTATTTATTTTATAATGCCTATAAGGGATTTTTAACATTCAAAGATTGATTGATTACCTTGAAAATCGACTTTCGTTGAACGAAGGAAATTCTTGGTTATTCCATCGGGCAACGTTGGTATTAATCGAGGCAAGAAAAGAAATATCACAGTTTTTATCGGTCATGTTTTTATATCTGTTGTTGCGGTATATTACCGACACTGCACAATGAAAAATTATATTGCCGTGCATGTAGGAAATTTACAATCCTTTCGATTTATTGACATTGCAACATGGTCTTTCGAATATACGCTTTGGACCGACTGAATATACGACGCAATTTCTAAAATGCGATAACAAAGAGGAATTTCCGTTTGAAAATAACAGATTTTCGTAGATATCGAGAAATTGAAAGATACAAGAAAAAGAAAAGAAAAATAATATAAATATTATTATCAGAACGCCGCGATATACGCGTAATCGAATCATCGATCGAGGAGAAAATAAGAAAAGGAAAAGAGGAGAAGAAGAAGAAGAAGAAGGAGGGAAAAAATTGAGATAGCTGAATCTTTTCTTTCGAGATCTATCTATCGAAGGTTCTATATTCGAAGGTTTAAAAAACTCGAAGAGAGAAATGATTTAATTGTTACATCGTTGTAAGTAAATCTCATACATTTACACAGCGAATTATCCACTTATTACCAAGGACGTCTATTGAATATCATGGACGATGGGGATATTCATTGAGAGCGGAATTGACCAGACCAATTCTTTCTAATATTTTATTTCTTTAATTGTACTCTTCGTTTTATTGCCTATAATCATTCACCTTGAATATTAATCCGTTAAAAATAAAGCGTACGATTATCACTTGAATTATTATCCGATACGCAATTTTTTTTTTTTTTATATATAATAATACTCTTATAACCTTATCGTAAAATCACAATTGTGGATAATTGTAGAGGTAAAAAATTTTATAATCGAGCGATAGGTGTAATTTTCAATTCGAAGGCCGCGATCGGCACATACCAATGTCTCTCCGTTACAACGAGGCAATCGAGATCACGATAGAGTTTTATCTCGTTATATCGACTATTATTTCTCGTATTATTACGTAATGGACATAATCGAGAAAAAGTTTTAAATTCCAACGATAAAAATAAATCGTTCGTCTCGAAGGAAAACCAAGGAGGAATAATTCGTGATCAAGAAAGAAAGACCCGTTCTTCCGGAATTTCGAGCCGTTAAGTATCGTCGGGGAACGGGTAAAAGTAACGTTATTTCATGTTGTATCGTAATGCCGCGCACCAACTATTTTGTAACTGTTTGCACCTGTTTGCCTCTATCACGCGGAGATAACTGTATACGAATAAACCTTTATTGTTATCGCGATCATCGAACGCGATCCCGAGATAGGTGGACGATGATGGTCCGCCTTGTGTGTTGGAATATCGGCGTTCAAATATCAATAAAAGCTGGATCCAAAGTCGTCGCTAGCCGACGTGCGATCGCGTGCACTTGGGTCGAATACGGTCGTTACGTTTTCCCTCCTCTCCTCGCATCGTCGTCCTCTCATCTTCATCCCCTTTCGCCGAGACGAGGTCCTTTTCGAGTTCGTGCCTCTCTACACCTTCCCCTACGGCACTCTTGGTCCGTTTGCTCCTCGTACGACGACGAAAAACGCTCGCTCCGACATTTTCCTCGAATTTTGTAAAGAGAGAATACTCTCCTCTCCGGGTCTAGTTATGTAGACAAATGGATGGAGAGCGAAGGATTTGCGTGAACAGAAGAAAACGAGTCGAAGATATTCGCCGTGTCGTGATGATGATAATGAAGATCGTTATCACGATGATGGATTAATTTATCGCATCTTATCGAGAATTTGTAAGAATTAATCAAGGCCGAGAGAATTAATCAAACGATTTTAAAGTAATAACACGAATAAAGAAGAAAGAAGAAGAAGAAGTGAAGGTCTTATTGGATTAGAATCGGTCTTAATTGGGATAGAAAAATGGGAATTATTCGTATTCCATTTATATATACGCGGAACGACGGGGATACACGTTGAAAATTTTCCAAGTGATCGTTCGCTACGATCTTTGCTTCCATGCTTGGGAAGCAACTTTATTCGAGGAATCCGCCTTCTGTCGTTATCGTTGCTTCGCCCTTCTTCGAGAAGTTAATCCAATCACCACCCCTGCCGGGTCTGCAAAATTTCCAGTCGATGTCGATGGGTAAAAGAAACAGAAGCCTCGACGAGGGGGGAGGGGCTGGTTGGCTGCTCGTTTTTCGGAACCACTCAATTTCACGTTTCGTCTCGCGAAAATTTTTTTGCATCCTCCTTCCAGGGGGATTACGTATATTTTCCCGAATAATAGGAACGAACGCGATAATTTATATATTGTAATATTTTTTGCAACCGGTATTTATTAAAAGTCAGTTACAATTAAATACTTCTCGATTAGATAACGTAACTCGATGATGTACATACAGAAAATAGAAGAAGAAAGATAATTGTTCCATATCTCTTGTTACGTATGTTTGATTATCTACAATTCTGATAAAAATGGTTTGTATGTCATATATTCTGGGAAAATTATTTTTATTTTATTGCGCCATTTTATGTAATTATACACGACAATTATATAAATTTAAATTATCCTTTCGTACAAATATAGCGATCAGATATATAATTGTAATG